TAATTCAGTCAGAATTCCACAGGCAGTCAGCTGGAGGGGTGGATGAATCCTGGGAACAGCCGGTTTCCTTGCGACTAAATCAAGCCCAATATCATTATGGATTCTTGCATTTCTTTGGCTTTTTCTCATTTTCTTATTTATCATGGTTTGTAATGAATTTTCTGATGTCAGCTTTGGTTTTGAAGCTGCAATATGGAGTTCAGGGCACCGGAGGAATGGCCTTTTTCCATCAGGGCACAGCTGTTGGCTTGCTCCAATTCTGGCTTGCTGTCATTATTTTGGGAGCCTCAGCTGAATTTTGGTTTCTTGAGTGGAAATTGCCTAAATGTTTTCTGGGTCTGAGTTGGTTTTGCCTTCTTCCTTCCCAAATTTTGTATTCTGACGGCATACAAACAAGAGTTTGGACAGAGTAGCCATTATGGAATGAAAAACACAACCAATAGGCATTTGAAGCTTAGAAATCTACAGGTAACACGACCAAGGTGAGTTTTTGTGTTTTGGAAAGTCAAATGGAACACTTTGGCTAGGTGACAGATATTAATTGCCTCCAAACTGAGTTTCACTGCGATATTCAGGTTAATTCAGTCAGAATTCCACAGGCAGTCACCTGGAGGGGTAGATGAATCCGGGAACAGCCGGTTTCCTTGCGACTAAATCAAGCCCAATATCATTATGGATTCTTGCATTTCTTTGGCTCTTATTTTTCTTATTTATCATGGTTTGTAATGAATTTTCTGATGTGCGCTTTGGTTTTTAGGCTGGCATATGGAGTTCAGGGCACAAGAGGAATGGTCATTTTCAATCAGGGCATAGCTGTTGGCTTGCTCCAATTCTGGCTTGCTGTCATTGTTTTGGGTGCCTCAGCCGATTTGTGGTTTCTTGAGCGTCGATTTCCTAAATGTTTTCTGGGTCTGAGTTGGTTTTGCCTTCTTATTCCCAAATTTTGTATTCTGATGCAATACAAACAAGAGTTTCGGCAGAGTAGCCATTATGAAATAAAAAACACAACAAACAAGCATTTCAAGGTTATACATGTACAGAAAACACGACCAAGGTGAGTTTTTGTGTTTTGGAAAATCAAATGGAACACTTTGACTGAGGTGACAGATATTAATTGCCTCCAAACTGAGTTTCACTTCGATGTTCAGGTTAATTCAGTCGAATTCCACAGGTATCCAGATGGAGGGGTGGATGAATCTGGGAACAGCCGGTATCCTTGCGAATAAATCCAGCCCAATATCATTATGGATTCTTGCATTTCTTTGTCTTTTTTCTCATTTTTCTTATTTATCATGGTTTGTAATGAATTTTCTGATGTCAGCTTTGGTTTTGAAGCTGCAATATGGAGTTCAGGGCACCGGAGGAATGGCCTTTTTCCATCAGGGCACAGCTGTTGGCTTGCTCCAATTCTGGCTTGCTGTCATTATTTTGGGAGCCTCAGCTGAATTTTGGTTTCTTGAGTGGAAATTTCCTAAATGTTTTCAGGGTCTGAGTTGGTTTTGCCTTCTTCCTTCCCAAATTTTGTATTCTGACGGCATACAAACAAGAGTTTGGACAGAGTAGCCATTATGGAATGAAAAACACAACCAATAGGCGTTTGAAGCTTAGAAATCTACAGGTAACACGACCAAGGTGAGTTTTTGTGTTTTGGAAAGTCAAATGGAACACTTTGGCTAGGTGACAGATATTAATTGCCTCCAAACTGAGTTTCACTGCGATATTCAGGTTAATTCAGTCAGAATTCCACAGGCAGTCACCTGGAGGGGTAGATGAATCCGGGAACAGCCGGTTTCCTTGCGACTAAATCAAGCCCAATATCATTATGGATTCTTGCATTTCTTTGGCTCTTATTTTTCTTATTTATCATGGTTTGTAATGAATTTTCTGATGTGCGCTTTGGTTTTTAGGCTGGCATATGGAGTTCAGGGCACAAGAGGAATGGTCATTTTCAATCAGGGCATAGCTGTTGGCTGCTCCAATTCTGGCTTGCTGTCATTGTTTTGGGTGCCTCAGCCGATTTGTGGTTTCTTGAGCGGCATTTTCCTAAATGTTTTCTGGGTCTGAGTTGGTTTTGCCTTCTTATTCCCAAATTTGTATTCTGATGCAATACAAACAAGAGTTTCGGCAGAGTAGCCATTATGAAATAAAAAACACAACAAACAAGCATTTCAAGGTTATACATGTACAGAAAACACGACCAAGGTGAGTTTTTGTGTTTTGGAAAATCAAATGGAACACTTTGGCTGAGGTGACAGATATTAATTGCCTCCAAACTGAGTTTCACTGCGATGTTCAGGTTAATTCAGTCGAATTCCACAGGTAGCCAGATGGAGGGGTGGATGAATCTGGGAACAGCCGGTTTCCTTGCGACTGACCCAAGCCCAATATCATTATGGATTCTTGCATTTCTTTGGCTTTTTTCTCATTTTTCTTATTTATGATGGTTTGTAATGAATTTTCTGATGTGAGCTTTGGTTTTGAGTCTGCAAGATGGAGTTCAGGGCACCGGAGGAATGGCCATATTCAATCAGGGCACAGACCTTTGCTTGCTCCAATTCTGGCTTACTGTCATTGGTTTGGGGGCCTCAGCTGAGTTTGCTTTCTTGAGCGGCAAGTTCCTAAATGTTTTCTGGGTCTGAGTTGGTTTTGCCTTCTTCCTTCAAATGTTGCTTCTGACGCAATACAAACAAGAGTTTAGACAGAGTAGCCATTATGAAATAAAAAACACAACAAATAGGCGTTTGAAGCTTAGACATCTACTGGTAACATGACCAAGGTGAGTTTTTTGTGTTTGGAATATAAATGGAACACTTTGGCTGAGGGTGACAGAAGTAATTAATTGCCTCCAAACTGAGTTTCACTGTGATTTCAGGTTAATTCAGTCAGAATTCCACAGGCAGGTCAGCTGGAGGGGTGGATGAATCTGGGAACAACCGGTTTCCTTGCGACTAAATCAAACCAATATCATTATGGAATCTTGCATTTCTTTGGATTATCTCATTTTTCTTATTTATCATGGTGTGTAATGAATTTTCTGATGTGAGCTTTGGTTTGAGTCTGGAAGATGGAGTTCAGGGCAGAAAGAGGATGGTTCTTTTTCAATCAGGGCACAGCTCTTTGCTTGCTCCAATTCTGGTTTAATGTACTTGGTTTGGGTACCTCTGCTGACTTTTGGTTTCTTGAGCGGCAATTCCTAAATGTTTTCTGGGTCTGAGTTGGTTTTGCCTTCTTCCTTGTCAAATTTTGTATTCTGACGCAATACAAAAAAGAGTTTGGTTAAAGTAGCCATTATGAAATAAAAACCACAACAAATATGCTTTTGAAGCTTAGAAATCTACAGGTAACTCGACCATGGTGAGTTTATGTGTTTTGGAAAATCAAATGGAACACTTTGGCTGAGGTGACAGATATTAATTGCTTCCAAACTGAGTTTCACTGCGATTTTCAGGTTAATTCAGTCAGAATTCCACAGGTAGTCAGCTGGAGGGGGGGATGAATCTGGGAAGAGCTGATTTCCTTGAGACTAAATCAAGCCCAATATCATTATGGATTCTTGCATTTCTTTGGCTTTTTTCTCATTTTTCTTATGTATCATGGTTTGTAGTGAATTTTCTGATGTGAGCTTTGGTTTTGAGTCTGCAATATGGAGTTCAGGGCACAAGAGGAAGGTTCTTTTCAAACAGGGCACAGCCATTTGCTTGCTCCAGTTCTGGCTTGCTGTCATTGTTTTGGATGCCTCAGCTGATTTTTGGTGTGTTGAGTGGCAATTTCCTAAATGTTTTCTGGGTCAGAGTTGGTTTTGCCTTCTTCCTTCCCAAATTTTGTATTCTGAGGCCATACAAACAAGAGGTTGGACAGTGTAGCCATTATGAAATAAAAAAAAAACACAAGAAATAGGAGTTTGAAGCTTAGAAATCTACAGGTAACACGACCAAGGTGAGATTTTGTGTTTTGGAAAATCAAATGGAACACTTTGGCTGAGGTGACACATATTAATTGCCTCCAAACTGAGTTTCACTGCGATTTTCAGGTTAATTCTGTCAGAATTCCACAGGCAGTCAGCTGGAGGGGTGGATGAATCCGGGAAAGATGGTTTCCTTGCGACTAAATCAAGCCCAATATCATTGTGGATTCTTGCATTTCTTTGGCTTTTTTCTCATCTTTCTTATTTATCATGGTTTGTAATGAATTTTCTGATGTGACCTTTGGTTTTGAGGCTTGCATATTGAGTTCAGGGCACCGGAGGAATGGTCTTTTTTCAATCAGGGCACAGCTTGTTGCCTTGCTCCAATTCGGCCTTGCTGTCATTGTGTTGAGTGCCAGCTGCATTTTGGTTTCTTGAGCGTGCAATTTCTAATGTTTTCGGGTCTGAGTTGCTTTGCCTTCTTCCTTTCCAAATTTTGTATTCTGACGCAATACAAACAAGAGTTTGGCGAGTAGCCATTATGAAATAAAAAACAACCAATAGGTCGTTTGAAGCTTAGAAATCTACAGGTAACACGCCCAAGGTGAGTTTTTGTGTTTGGAAAAGCAAATGGAACACTTTTGCTGAGGTGACAGATATTAATTGCCTCCAAACTGAGTTCACTGCGATTTTCAGGTTAATTCAGTCAGAATTCACAGGCATGTCAGCTGGAGGGGTGGATGAATCCGGAACAGCCGGTTTCCTTTGCGACTCAATCAAGCCCAATATCATTATGGATTCTTGCATTTCTTTGGCTTTTTTCTCATTCTTTCTTATGTATCATCGGTTTTAATGAATTTTCTGATGTGAGCTTTGGTTTTGAGCTGCAATATTGGAGTTCAGGGCACCGAGGAATGGTCTTTTTCAATCAGGGCACAGCTCTTTGCTTGCTCCAATTCTGGTTTAATGTAATTGGTTTTGGGTACCTCTGCTGATTTTGGTTTCTTGAGCGGCAATTTCCTAAATGTTTTCTGGGTCTGAGTTGGTTTTGCCTTCTTCCTTGTCAAATTTTGTATTCTGACGCAATACAAAAAAGAGTTTGGTTAAAGTAGCCATTATGAAATAAAAACCACAACAAATATGCTTTTGAAGCTTAGAAATCTACAGGTAACTCGACCATGGTGAGTTTATGTGTTTTGGAAAATCAAATGGAACACTTTGGCTGAGGTGACAGATATTAATTGCTTCCAAACTGAGTTTCACTGCGATTTTCAGGTTAATTCAGTCAGAATTCCACAGGTAGTCAGCTGGAGGGGGGGATGAATCTGGGAAGAGCTGATTTCCTTGAGACTAAATCAAGCCCAATATCATTATGGATTCTTGCATTTCTTTGGCTTTTTTCTCATTTTCTTATGTATCATGGTTTGTAGTGAATTTTCTGATGTGAGCTTTGGTTTTGAGTCTGCAATATGGAGTTCAGGGCACAAGAGGAAGGTTCTTTTTCAAACAGGCACAGCCATTTGCTTGCTCCAGTTCTGGCTTGCTGTCATTGTTTGGATGCCTCAGCTGATTTTTGGTGTGTTGAGTGGCAATTTCCTAAATGTTTCTGGGTCAGAGTTGGTTTTGCCTTCTTCCTTCCCAATTTTGTATTCTGAGGCCATACAAACAAGAGGTTGGACAGTGTAGCCATTATGAAATAAAAAAAAACACAAGAAATAGGAGTTTGAAGCTTAGAAATCTACAGGTAACACGACCAAGGTGAGATTTTGTGTTTTGGAAAATCAAATGGAACACTTTGGCTGAGGTGACACATATTAATTGCCTCCAAACTGAGTTTCACTGCGATTTTCAGGTTAATTCTGTCAGAATTCCACAGGCAGTCAGCTGGAGGGGTGGATGAATCCGGGAAAGATGGTTTCCTTGCGACTAAATCAAGCCCAATATCATTGTGGATTCTTGCATTTCTTTGGCTTTTTTCTCATCTTTCTTATTTATCATGGTTTGTAATGAATTTTCTGATGTGACCTTTGGTTTTGAGGCTGGCATATTGAGTTCAGGGCACCGGAGGAATGGTCCTTTTCAAACAGGGCACAGCTGTTGGCCTGCTCCAATTCTGGCTTGCTGTCATTGTTTTAAGTACCTCAGCCGATTTGTGGCTTCTTGAGCGGAAATTTTAAATGTTTTCTGGACAGAGTAGCCATTATGAAATAAAAAATACAACTAATAGGCGTTTGAATCTTAGAAATCTACAGGTAACACGAGCAAGGTGAGTTTTTGTGTTTTGGATAATAAAATGGTCTGAGGTGACAGATATTAATTGCCCCCAAACTGAGTTTCACTGCGATTTTCAGGTTAATTCAGTCAGAATTCCACAGGCAGTCAGCTGGAGGGGTGGATGAATCCAGGAACAGCCGGTTTCCTTGCGACTAAATCAAGCCCAATATCATTATGGATTCTTGCATTTCTTTGGCTTTTTTCTCATTTTTCTTATTTATCATGGTTTGTAATGCATTTTCTGATGTCAGCTTTGGTTTTGAGGCTGCAATATGGAGTTCAGGGCACCGGGGCAATGGTCTTTTTCAAACATGGCACAGCTGTTGGCCTGCTCCAATTCTGGCTTGCTGTCATTGTTTTGAGTGCCTCAGCCGATTAGTGGTTTCTTGAGCGGCAATTTCCAAAATGTTTTCTGGGTCTGAGATGGTTTTGCCTTCTTCCTTCCCAAATGTTGTATTCTGACACAATACAAACAAGAGTTTGGGCAGAGTAGCTATTATGAAATAAAAAACACAACAAATAGGCTTTTGAAGCTTAGAAATCTACAGGTAACACGACCAAGGGGAGTTTTTGTGTTTTGGAAAATCAAATGGAACACTTTGGCTGAGGTGACAGTTATTTACTGCCTCCAAACGGAGTTTCACTGCGATATTCAGGTTAATTCAGTCAGAATTCCACAGGCAGTCAGCTGGAGGGGTGGATGAATCCGGGAACAGCCGGTTTCCTTTGCGACTGAACCAAGCCCAATATCATTATGGATTCTTGCATTTCTTTGGCTTTTTTCTCATTTTTCTTATTTATCATGGTTTGTAATGAATTTTCTGATGTCAGCTTCGGTTTTGAGGCTGCAATATGGAGTTCAGGGCACCGGAGGAATAGTCTTTTTCAAACAGGGCACAGCTGTTGGCCTGCTCCAATTCTGGCTTGCTGTCATTGTTTTGAGTGCCTCAGCCGATTTGTGGTTTCTTGAGCGTCGATTTCCTAAATGTTTTCTGGGTCTGAGTTGGTTTTGCCTTCTTCCTTCCCAAATTTTGTATTCTGACGCAATACAAACAAGAGTTTGGGCAGAGTAGCCATTATGAAATAAAAAACACTACAAATAGGCGTTTGAAGCTCAGAAATCTACAGGTAACAGGACAAGATGAGGTTTTGTGTTTTGGCAAATAAAATGGAACACTTTGGCTGAGGTGACAGATATTAATGGCCTCCAAACCGAGTTTCACTGCGATTTTCAGGTTAATTCAGTCAGAATTCCACAGGCAGTCAGCTGGAGGTGTGGATGAATCTGGGTACAGCCAATTTCCTTGCGACTAAATCAAGCCCAATATCATTATGGATTCTAGCATTTCTTTGGCTTTTTTCTCATTTTTCTTATTTATCATGGTTTGTAATGCATTTTCTGATGTCAGCTTTGGTTTTGCGGCTGCAATATGGAGTTCAGGGCACAAGAGGAAGGTTATTTTTCAAAAAGGGCACAGCTGTTGGCTTGCTCCAATTCTGCCTTGCTGTCATTGTTTTGGGTGCCTTAGCTGACTTTTGGTTTCTTGAGCGGCAATTTCCTAAATGTTTTCTGTGTCTGAGAGGTTTTTGCCTTCTTCCTTCCCAAATTTTGTATTGTGACGCAATACAAACATGAGTTCAGACAGAGTACCGATTATGAAATAAAAAACACAACAAATAGGCGTTTGAAGCTTAGAAATCTACAGGTAACATGACCAAGGTGAGTTTTTGTGTTTTGAAAAATCAAATGGAACACTTTGGCTGAGGTGACAGATATTAATTGCCTCCAAACTGAGGTTCACTGCGATTTTCCGGTTAATTCAGTCATATTTCCACAGGCAGTCAGCTGGAGGGGTGGATGAATCTGGGAACAGCCAATTTCCTTGCGACTCAATCAAGCCCAATATCAATATGGATTCTTGCATTTCTTTGGCTTTTTTCTTCGTTTTCTTATTTATCATGGTTTGTAATGAATTTTCTGATGTGAGCTTTGGTTTTGAGGCTGCAATATGGATTTCAGGGTAACAGAGGAATGGTCTTTTTCAAACAGGGCACAGCTGTTGGCCTGCTCCAATTCTGGCTTGCTGTCATTGTTTTGGGTGCCTCAGCCGATTATTGGTCTTTTGAGCGGCAATTTACTACATGTTTTCTGGGCCTGAATTGGTTTTGCCTTCTTCCTTCCCAAATTTTGTATACTGACGCAATACAAACAAGAGTTTCGGCAGAGTAGCCATTATGAAATAAAAAACACAACAAATAATCATTTGAAGCTTAGAAATCGACAGGTAACACGAGCAAGGTGAGTTTTTGTGTTTTGGAAAATAAAATGGAACACTTTGGCTGAGGTGACAGATATTAATTGCCTCCAAACTGAGTTTCACTGCAATTTTCAGGTGAATTCAGTCAGAATTCCATAGGCAGTCAGCTGGAGGGGTGGATGAATCTGGGAATAGCCGGTTTCCTTGCGATTGAATCAAGCCCAATATCATTATAGATTCTTGCATTTCTTTGGCTTTTTTCTCATTTTTCTTATTTATCATGGTTTGTAATGAATTTTCTGATGTGAGCTTTATTTTGAGGCTGCAATATAGACTTCAGTGCAGAAGAGAATGGTTCTTTTTCAATCAGGGCACACCTCTTTGCTTGCTCCAATCTGGTTTAATGTCATTGCTTTGGGTACCTCTGCTGACTTTTGGTTTCTTGAGCGGCAATTTCCTAAATGATTTCTGGGTGTGAGTTGGTTTTGCCTTCTTCCTTCCCAAATGTTGTATTCTGATGCAATACAAACAAGAGTTTGGTTAAAGTAGCCATTATGAAATAAAAAACACAACAAATAGTCGTTTAAAGCTTAGAACTCTACAGGTAACACGACCAAGGTGAGTTTTTGTGTTTTGGAAAATCAAATGGAACACTTTGGCTGAGGTGACAGACATTAATTGCCTCCAAACTGAGTTTCACTGCGATTTTCAGCTGAATTCAGTCAGAATTCCACAGGCAGTCAGCTGCAGTGGTCGATGAATCCTGGAACAGCCGGTTTCCTTGAGACTAAATCAAGCCCAATATCATTATGCATTCTTGGAATTCTTTGGCTTTTTTCTCATTTTCCTTATTTTTCATGGTTTGTAATGAATTTCCTGATGTGAGCTTTGGTTTTGAGGCTGCAATATGGAGTTCAGGGCACCGGAGGAATGGTCTTTTTCAAACAGGGCACAGCTTTTGGCCTGCTCCAATTCTGGCTTGCTGTTATTGTTTTGAGTGCCTCAGCTGACTTTTGGTTTCTTGAGCTGCAATTTCCTACATGTTTTCTGAGTCTGAGTTGGTTTTGCCTTTTTCCTTCCCAAATTTTGTATTCTGACGCCATACAAACAAGAGTTTGGGGCGAGTAGCCAGTGTGAAATACAAAACACAACAAATAGTCTTTTGAACCTTAGAAATCTACAGGTAACACGACCAAGGTGAGTTTTTGTGTTTTGGAAAATCAAATGGAACACTTTGGCTGAGGTGACAGATATTAATTGCCTCCAAACTGAGTTTCACTGCGATTTTCAGGTAAATTCAGTCAGAATTCCACAGGCAGTCAGCTGGAGGGGTTGATGAATCCGGGAACAGCCGGTTTCCTTGCAACTCAATCAAGCCCAATATCATTATGGATTCTTGCATTTCTTTGGCTTTTTTCTCATCTTTCTTATTTATCATGGTTTAAATGAATTTTCTGATGTGAGCTTTGGTTTTTAGGCTGCAATATGGAGTTCAGGGCACCGGAGGAATGGTCTTTTTCAAACAGGACACAGCTGTTGGCCTGCTCCAATTCTGCCTTGCTGTCATTGTTTTGAGTGCCTCAGCCGATTT